ACGTTTTAGCCCGGATGTACTGTGCGGGCTGACAGCAAGGAACCGCCACCTTCCTCTTGGCTTGGTTGCACCACCCCTGACTAACTTCACTATCCAGACATATACATATAATATATAAATTTCTCATTATTTCTGAATACTAACAGTTGTGGCTAGCACCTGGTGGCTGTTTTTGCCCTGGATCAGCAGTAACAGCGGCCTGTAATCGCAAATATGAGCGAATTTTTCACCTGCCCCAAGCCGCCTATGGGGCGAGTTCATTCTACCCGACGAAACGTTCGTTCTTATTTGAAGAACCTGCATCACTACTGCAATTTCTGTTTACCTCTCCCACAAGCTAGATTCCATATATGGTGCTCGTTCGGCCCTATGCATTAGCGCCATCTCCTCATCGAACCCTTTCTTTGCACTGACTTCCCTGTAACAGTGACGCCGGTGAGTCAATTTAATTTCAGGCGAGACCATATTTTTGAGACAAAACTTGCAGTTTGCTTCTACTCCGAACTGTTCCATCTCCGTCTCCATTTTTGCCTTTTGTGACCTTGACCACTTACTCAACCGCCCAAGGTCACCCATGGCCAGCAATGTTTCTAAGTTTTATTGCACGACAGCATTCACGGATTCACGGATTGATACACAAGGGCAAACGGCTTCATTTTTGAACCGGTCGTACGTCATGCTCATTGTCCTAGTTTTTCGTATCCGGTTGTTTCACGTAATAAGCGTGCCTCCTTGGTTGTAAAGTCCTGCACATTGTGCTGTTGCCTGCCGCGCTCAGCTTGTAACGACGCGATCATGCCTCAATGTGCACGATTTGCAAACGGGTGTAGTTGTCCCACCTTTTTGCCTAACTGCGTGCTCGAATTTCCCGGTATAGATGGATGGGCACATATCGGCCATTTGATTAATCTGTCCACTATGATCGATGTAGGTTCCGTGTGGCTGGTTGATCAGGCATCGTGGACGCTAGCCGCATGTTAGTCGTGTTCGCTAGCTAGATTCGTTCAGCTGTCTGCTTCGATCAACCGTATGATCGTCTGTGCATATTTCGCAATATTATGGTAGATTGCCCTGCTGTTTAACAACAAACACCTTCATCATCTGCAAGCATCGCGTTCTTCCAACATGGTAGTAATGAATGTGGCTTCCGCGACGTTAATTCGGGATAGCAGTTATTGAGGTCTCTGACATACTTGTGCATTCAACCAGGCCAGCTAATTTAAATATCAAATTCTTTTGCAGGAGTAGCCCCGACGCACATTTTTCATCCACAATGGCCAAGTAGTCTCGATAAAGCACAGTGAATTATTACAGCCGCAGAACAACCCGTAGATTCCGTCAATTTTAAGCCATTCACCCTTCACCGCAATTCGCGACATCTTATACATCAGGTAAGGTATTCACAGTCGGTGGCGAATGATGATCGCGAGGATTCACTTATTTAACCAATCGCACATGTGGATGATTCACAGAATAATTCATTATACATAGACACTGTATTATCTGAAATGTTGGCTCTGGAAACATCGTTCGAGAAATCAACCTTATGGTGGATTACGGATCGGCCGTCAATTTATTATGCAGCACTTATTCTCATTTGGAGCGTGGAATGACCTACCTCCGACGGTTGTTGACGATGCATCTAGTACCCAGTTCAAGGCACTTATAGGGGCCTTTTATGTCAGTCCTCACGGTGAGGAATTAAAAGCAGAGCTACACACTTTCGCTTGTGCCTTCCAGGTGAACGGAAACCGGCGAAAAACAAAAAGCTTGGGAGAAAGCCTTGGTCATGTGTATCAATCCCTGAATCCGTGAATTAATGGTATGCTTCAGATGAAGTGCTCGTGTGGTGAATATTTTCGTCAAGTTTTCCACGTGCGATGTATGGACCAGGTGAAGACGTGAACTGATTAGTCATAATCTCAGCCAATCAGGACCGGGCATTTGTAGCCTCGCGCCTCTCGCTCCCTGAAGTTGATACCAGCGGGTTTTTACATAGCAGTATGTGATAATCCTGTAAAGAGAATTGTAGTAATTTTCCGTTCTTCATCTGAGAGCTGTATTAAGCTGCCGTGTGTTTTCATTCACCATAGTGAACGGAACATGAAGCCGAGGGCCGACACAGCAGCTGCAACACATTTCGCTTAACACATCAAAAAGGTGCTCCTCGTTTAGCTGTGGGAAATGTGTGCGTGCCGCCAGTTAAGGAGGCATGCCAAAGTATTCCGTGTGCTCTTATAAGCGACCTCATCGGGGGGCACTGGTCGTAATGAGGGTTAGCTAACGACGACAATACTTGGAGTCGGGTACTCCAAAAAGATCTTTTTGGAGTGTTGCTGTGCGCGTACACGAAAACAGCTGGATCGTAGAACGGGCACTATCACCCCTTATAAGGCTCCTCACCTCTTCGGGCTTAGAGTGCGATCCCTTGAGGCGGTTGATCAGACTATGGGGCGAGAAGTCTCAGTGTTTGGAGCGTGAATTCGCTGACCGGAAGGTCCGTCTTTCAAGCTCAACCTCTGCCTCCTGACTTCCCCTGTCTGGCCTTTCCCTGTCACGCCTTCTTTTGGCGGAATTACAGTTAGGTGCCGAAAGAGTACTGCAGCTGAACGGATTTCTGATCAGCCTGCAGCTCGAACACAGGATGTCTGGGGACAGGCGTGGTTGAACCAGAAAGTTCAAGGAATGGGGACCTCGGAATCTACATGTGTTTCCTGCCACCCTTCAAGCTGTCGATCTCTCGGCTTCTGACGGATCCGCGTACGCCCTCATGATCGTTATCTGCTCTTATGACTTACCTGGCCTCAATGTGGTCTGCTGAGATCGACGGTATCTAGTGTCAATTTAGTCGGATCGGATGACTCTGAAAGACAGTTCTGAGAACTGGGAGTAAGGCCTCTTTAGGTCGCTTCCATCCATTCTCCAACCAATATTCGTTATCAGCATGACTGTGTTCCCAATAGTTTTTCAGCCAAATCAACTCGGTACTGTTGATGAACCAAGATTCCCTGCTTCGGTACGTGGAGTGCTGATGGTGGGCGAAATGACAACCGAGCCGGCACGACGTCATGATCGCAGTTAATTTGCGTACCCCGGAGGCTCCATATCCGTATTTGATAGCCTTATAATTCAACTGGTATATAACTGGCCTCTAGGTAACTGGTGTGAGCGGTTGTGCTGAAAGTACGGACTTGGAATAGACGATGTTCAACACACCACTGGGCCGGTCTCCCACCATCCGTCGCTGATCTATTTTAGATCTACCACTTGAGTGTGCTTCTTCTGGGCTTGGTCGTTCAACTCCCCAGGATGACTATTATTATTGACCGAAGCAATTGCGACAGATCTCGGTAAAACCCATCCTAAGATTCAGAGCTGCATTATTCAGGTGCTTATGCTGACTCGACAAATAAACAAAGCTTACCCTGTCTATCTGGATTGATGTTAATTAAATGAAACAAGCGTACAGCTAAAAAATGATTGTATATTCGGACACAGTCCAGTAAAGCACGTAGCCTTTGGGATGGGTGCGGCTGTCATACCATAGATATCACGTCATTATCACCAATCCTGAAGAAAAATCTCAACTCGTTCTAAGTAGCTTGAGATGTACGATCAAAGTGGGGTCTCATGTGTCTGTTTCGATTACATAGCGCCCATCGACAGAGAGAGAAAGCGGTATCAGCAAGAAGTACCTGTTACCCGAATTGGCAGAGTACAAACAGTGGAGGCTGCAATGTGGGTCAGATCTTTGGAACTAAGTAAGGGTTTGTTTTAGTTTATTTCACTGCAAGACTGGATGGGCTCGAACCCTAGCCTCATGCTTGCGGATGAACCGATTCAGGTAGTGGACAAATTTATTTACTCGCACAGCTGTATCAGTCTCGGTGGTCTCGCGAAAAATGATATGTCCATCCGGATTCGGAAGGCCAGAGCAGCTTCTGTGAACCTACGTCACCTGTGGCGTAGGCGTGACATCAGCTTATCCGCCAAGAATCTTGTTTACAATGCTGCAGTGCGCTCCATGCTACTATACGGCTGAGAAACCTGACCATTGGGCACTGAGCTAACATGTGTTGGTGTGCGATTATCAGAAGGAACAACAGTCATCATCTGGATTTCACTTAACCTTACCCACCCACTCCTTCCCCCAACTAAATCTTCTCGACGCTCACAAACCTACGAAGGCTAAGGAAAATCTACCAGTGGCACCCGAGGTGACTAATCAGTTGAAGCACCCTGAAGTGGAAGATTAAGGAACAAGAGCCGGTCGGAAATAATTTGAAACTCCTCCAACCCATCAGTTTAAGATTTTGGCAACCACACTAGCGGTCAAGAACGGTTAATTGACACCCAACACTGATCTACCGTGGTAATCTGAAAATGACTTACTGATTGGTTTCCCGTCTGCCTTAAAACCTAGCCAACTTGGTGACCTTTTCACTTGGCCTGTTAAAGCTTTTACGTCAAAAGCGAAATATTGCCGAAATAAAAACTACCGACTGTTTACCAATCCCTTCTGAAACTATAAGTTCTAGCAAATGTAGTCCGCAGAATCATTACAGCGCTGAGGCCAGACTACCAGGACAAGGTGACGGGTCTACTAAAAAGATTAGACAGGCTTCTCGCGTTTTCTCATTATCCAAAGACATTGATCATCTTGGAAATTCACTTGTCATTACAGTGCCAGTATATACTACGGGTGCGTTTTTGTCATTGGTGGTGGTGACCTCAGGGAAGGCTGTTGAAGACACCCGGATGGAAATGAAGTTTCATTATCGTAGTGTGTAACAAACAATACTATCTTAAATGGCCACATCACAAAGAGACGTCTCTCTCAAGGGAACATGTGGGATCACTTTGGAGTGCTGTATCACTATTTTTCACTCGTTGACTTCTGTTTGCCTATGATGCCAAAATTGTGCTGGTGCTTCAGCCAATTTGCTAACTTACTCGTTGACATCATTTGTGTTTTCCTTTCAGAGCATCATGCTGTTACTGTTGAAAGTATAATCTTAGCTCCTTCAGGATATGCTGCTGGAATCAATTTTTGAGGTTCTCACGGTGCGGCATTTTTGCGCATTGCTACTCTCCATATTGGTTGCGTTGGTTGCGACTTCTCACCTGAACTATCAGCTGTCTCCCTTGTGGGTGTTGCACCTTTACACACAGTCTCATACCGATGACTGGATGCCGCCGAATATAAAATACTTGACGCGGGCATCCCATGTATTCTTGGCTGATGGATTCGAGGAAAAACCAGTATCACCTGTCCATCTCGTCATTTCCAATTCGCATATTACCACCGGCGCTTTCATCGTAGTCTATCATTTGTCGTCAGTGGAGTCGATTGAGCGGTTTCTGCTCCATTCCGAACGACGAAAATCTGCTTTGCACCAACTTAACCCCGCTAGTCGTTTCATTTTTGGGGACCAACATGTTCTGGCTCTCACAGCCCACTCTCACCGGAATGTAATGGTAAGTTTTCTCGCTATTTGTATTACTCTTTCTGGTCATTCAGTGGCGCACTAACCGTCAGCCATGAGGAAACTCCGTGTAGGTGATCAAAGGTGATGAAGGCGGCGCATAGATAGAGTCACAAGTGATTTCTGCTGTGGGTCGGGTGACCCAGCAGCATATTGTCATCGGTCGGTTTCTGCTCGCATTTTGTGTGAGCGTGCAGAAGTTTAAGCACCTCGCAACAAACATTAAAGCCCTTACCAGTTAATTTAATTGTGTCGGTAGCTGCTGTGAGTGGGGACCCCGGGACGAGACAGGCTTGCAACCTTGACAGATATGACCATGGTGTCAGCCCCACTTTCTTCTCGGAGCGCCTTCACTGTGTAGCTTACTCACTACCTACCATACCTAACAAACGGAGCCATTTAGTAAGTGAATTGATTGGGCCGTCACCCCCAACGCATGGCTCTGATTCTTTTACTCTCGTTATCCTGAGTGAGGGAAGCTGTATCAGCTGAAACCACCGTACTTCGGTGCACAGTATGTAGCTGAAAAACTGATTGGCAGTACAAAAACCGTCACGAAGAGGCGACTTTACCTTGGTGGGACGATTGTTGTGCCCTCATAAGCCACTGAACTATACTGGGCGATATCCGTTCGACACCCACAGTATCATACCAGGTTGGTCAATGGTTAGAGGTCTGACCAACACAGTCTCCTGGCCATCCAGGTTGGGGTTCGGAACATGTATGGCAGCCTGTCCCATAAAAATGCCAATGCACCTGAACTCTACGCCAAACACTGCTGCCTTGCGGTCAGGCTTTTGAGCCAGAGGCTTTGATCGAGGGACCAGATCGTCGTCTTGCATAGGTCTGGACGCCCTGTAAGTATCCCAACTCGCTTAGAATCATGATATCCATAGCTGACAATGCTCTCATGCCTCATCAGCCGTCATGTATTGTTATCAACTGGGTCGCCTTGTTGCATACTGCAGGGCGGGTAACCGAAAACAAGTTACTGCTGACGCCTCCATTCTTCCTCTTTCACATACGTTTTGTTCCCCGTCCACCATGTCATTTATAACTCCCTCGGGTTAGCTCACTGTTTATTAAATGAGGCTTCTAACTAAGAGCTTCTTTGTTTGAACATAACACTGGCTTTTTGATTGTTCTTTTCTAGCGCAGGACAACCTGGGGGTATCTCAAACCCTGTTCCCTCTTTGATTTGTGCGATAGGTTTTCACTGCTACAACTGAGAAATTATTACTACTGTCTATTGCTCCTCTACTATTGCTGTTAGCGACTGTCGCCGAGTTGACGGTCAACGATATCCTCATCTTTTTCGCTGTCCTTTTTAGATGTCCGACAAGCTCTGATAGATCAATCATCGCCTGTAACTGAACGTACGGGTCAGCCTTTTAGTTAATTTCCCCCGTTGAAGTCGTACAATCGTGCATGTTTAAAATCGAGGTATATTTCACATAACGTTACGTGACATTATTTTGGTAGCGAATTTCAGTAGTTTTGTCCTCTGATCACCCCTCATATTGATTCATTTCCCTATATTGTTTATAGGTATATGCAGCCGTTTCCAGTCCAACACACAATGGTTCATCCACTCTTGCGAATTCTTACCTTATATCAGCGTTCAACGGATCAGGCACTGTTTTATGGAAGCAGATGATTCGGACACCTCCCTTTGATACTGGTGACGTCTTCCCTACTGTTACAGTGGACAGCCGTTGTGGAATAGTATCAGCTTCCATCTGCGGGACTGTTTTTACTCTACTCCCTCTAACTTCGTAAGTTTTGGACGTGCTTGTAACTGGCTGAGTCACCAGACCTTGAATGTAGGCCAGTGTGTGCCCTGACACTGAAGCACGTCATGTGGGTGGAGTTCTTACGAATGCACCGGACGGTATTGGCCCTTATGACAAGTGAGAGTGATAGTTAACAGCTGCGATATTAAGGTGCTTTGCGAGTTTTGGTTGCACGCTTGATATTAGGGTCCGAACGGAGAACGTACATCCATAGCTCCGTCACGGGAGACAGTGACATCTCTTATTTTGCGGGAAGTTTTGAAGTACGGAAATCATACAGTCGCTGTTCACAATACGTGAGCTTGAGATATTTTGTCTTATTGTCTTTTGGTCCCTCGTACACCTCTCGTTGACTCCAACACTGGTTTCATCTTTTACTTAGAGTTTGATCGAACTAGACTCTGAATTCCACCCACCGGTCTCGACGTCAGTGGCATCTCTAATTTCGTATTTCCCTGACTACCACACTGCTTATAACGATGTTATTTTGTTACCAACCAACTACCCGTGGTGTGAATTTGACATGCTTTTTGTTTTTCTTTGATTGGTCAATGAGTACCGATCACTAGCTGTGCTGTAACATGAAATGACATCTTATGCTTTCATCACACACGAGACGCCCCTGAATAAACTATAACAAATCACTCTCACAGTCCCGACCCATTCACATCAGTGAGAAAGTTTCAACTATCTAGCCCACCAAATTCTTTATTTTAAAGGACCCTTGAATTTTGATTTGTTTTTATGCCCCAAACATGAAAAAACACATGCACGTGGTTTGTTTTCTTTCCATTAAACTGTTGTACCGACGCTATCACAGACTATGGTTTCTTTTACGGTCACGTGGTGTTTGCTACGGCCTCTCCCGATAGGTGCATTACATAGGCTAACAACCGTACAGAAATAGCGCCGAATAAGCTCCTGAGTGTTACACTTCTAAGGCAACCTCGGGAGCATGAGACTGGCCATGATAGTCCAGTCCATCAATGAATATAAACGCAAATTCACACTCTGTAGAGCACAAACCACTCAAACTCGCCACTTAGCTAGTTCTAGTATGCACTTTTGACACAGCCCACCGTGTCCCTTATAAGTACAGGACGAGCTGCTCTAGGATAGTTTAGCTTGTGTTGTACATTAGTGTCCTGTCAGAAAAGCCGATAATCTCCATCATCGGGTTGCCAGTCTGTTTCGCTTCGTTTCTTAAAAAAACGGGACCGAACTTCTAAAATATAACCAACTTTTTCTCTGAGTAAGTGGGGAAATTATGTGTCTAACCGCTTTCTTGTGTGGTTGATTGACTGGCCAAGGGTATTTCCATAAGTCGTATTATGTTGACTATGTACACATACGGTGTATATTATATATTATGGAATACTGTGTAATATATAGTATGGCAGTGGTTTATGTAATATACTATACCGGTATATCTTATTATGGAGTCTACCTTTCAACTACAAGATGATATTACCCACTGGTTTTCCCACTTCAATTGTGTGTTAATGGGTACTCTTTGGAGAGCATTGTTGTTGTAGATTATCTGAGGAAAGTGCGGCATCAATCTGAAGTGTGTAGGAATTGACAAATGAGACCAGAGCCTTCGCGTAAAAGAACTAGGTTTTGCGCTCATCGTTTTACTACCATGCTTAGCGGCTGATGGTTCTTAACGGGCCTCTACTTTTCTGCACTCCAGTCTTATTACCTCGGGTTTACATTTAATGGAAATTCACGTGGTTCGCATGCGAGCGCTCACTGATTCCAGGTATACGGGCTTTCTTTTTATCACTAGGGAAAATGGTCGTGAGTTTTCGGCCCTTGCGTTATCATTGACAGATGGCCGGATTCTTTGGCAATATCGACAGGATGAATCAACCATCTATCGACGTCAAGTAAGTCGTTGTCATGTAGAGCTGCTTATAGCTCGGCAGTGTGTAAATATCGTGAGTTTTGTAAGTTTATTTAATGTTCATCAGGTGGCAGTTGATCTGTCCACCGAGGTTGGTAATTGGTCTACCAACGGCCAGTTGTTCATAACTCGCTAAGAACTAGCTCTGATTAATTTTAGTGAACTTAATCAGCTAGGCATAATTCATTGGGAAACAGACTTGCACACGAGAGTGAAACACGTCCGGCGCTGGTAAACCACCAGTGAGATAATACCAAACACAGTCAAGAAGATGTCAGTTCATGAACTCTGATGACTTGTTCTATCCTTCATGCATTCCGTTCCAGTGTTCGATGGAACCTGATGCTGTCATCTGTTGCCTATCCGGTGGTGTGGTATGAAACAAGCTTTCAGGATTGCTTCACTGTTATCAGATACACACATGAACCTGCGTTTTGATCTCGACCGGCTTTCTCGTTGCTTTATTTGTGCTGTTGAGGAAGAAGGAACTCTTCCGCGATTAATGAACTACTCGCGCTTCATAAGTTATGCCAGTTAGGACATGTACTCCGCATCCCAGGAGACCGTTTGCATTGCAGTTGTTTTCGGCCAACCCTGTTCTGAGTGGAAGCAACCGAGTGGTTAGAGCGCGAATTTGCTGACCGGAAGGTCCGTGTTCGAACCCGACCTCTGCCTCTCGACTACCCCTGTCTAGGCTCAAAAAAATCGTTCAGCTGTAGCACCCTTTCATTGCTTAACTGCCATGCCACCCGAAGGTTGCACGAGGACTGGGATACTGCCAGGTTGCCCAAGCCTAGACAGGGGAAGTCGAGAGGCGGAGATCGGGTTCGAACCACGAACCTTCCCGGTGTATAATTCCCGCCCTACCTATTTGGACCATCTCGCCACCTTAGGTAACCTTGCAGTATCCCAACCCTCGTGCCTCCTTCGTGCGGCATGGCAGCTAGGCACCGAAAGGATGCTACAGCTGAACGATTTATTTTTATTTATTAGTCGGTTCGGCAACCGCCTTCCTGGATCGGGATGCCGGGACTCAACTCACCAATGGTTAATGACACTGGCAGTAGTGGCCCAATAGCACATTTGGTGGTGCTCGTGCATCAAAGGTATCGCATTCAATGCTTAGCTACCCGTTCTTGAACTAACTGAACATACCATCACCTCCAGTGCTTAGCTGTATGTCCAACACTCCCACTTTCCAGTGATCGAAGCTGTAGCAGCTGGAAGCAATTTGCCTGTCGTACACGGTTTATAACTGATAGATTGAATTGAATTGGAAATCTTTTTGCGCTCAGTATGCATTGGATTAGGCTGAGCGCTGGGCCTCTTCATGTATACCTGATGAGTTTCAATGGGGACGAAATTTCTGGTGTGACTGAGCGTCTCGTAAGCTCACCGTTTCCTTGTCACTGTTCGACGTGTCCGACGAGGAATAAAATACAGCGACAATCAGAATAAGAACGGAGAAGGCTGAGGGCCCAGAAGCTAGGCTTTATTCATCCAAAACATTGACACTGAAAGCTGAAACGAGAAAGAGTGAGTTGGCCATAGATCATGAAACGTGTGAAAAACGGAGCAAGTATACAACATTCACTCCCCACAGAGACGAATGTTCATAGCAGTTCGTTTTATACTTGAAATACGGCCGTGTTCGCTGTTGTTGTACGACCAATAAGTGTTCAGAAGAATTCGACGTTTCAGTTTTCGAAGCAGAGGAATCAGATAGTTCCGGCTTAATACGTGAATCAGTATTGGGCTGCGATTGCTCCTGTTCGGATGCTAGAGCGCATCCAAAATCTACGGAAGGCGCCGGGTGACGTAGGGATACCGTTTCCTTCATGCCGTTAGTGTCGGCCGTATGCGCACTCAGGGTTACACTTCAGGAGCTTAACTTCTTCGACTGCGGGGTCATACTTCGAAGATTGTGTATTTCGTCGCATCAGAACTAGTCCTGGCGGAAGCAGCCACTGCGGCAACGATGTAATAATTGCGGATTTTTGATTATGATGAAACATTTGCTCGTGTGGAGCGGCATTATTGGCAGTGCACAACAGAGGACGAATCGAATGGAATGCGTCTTGTAAAACGGTTTCCCAATGACTGATCTGAAGACCTTTTGATCGTAGTGAAAGCGCAATGGCTTTTCACAAAGTTCCATCTAATTGCCCCACTTGACCATATTCCCTTGGGTTGTATGGAGTGGTCCGGCTGGCGGTGATGCCTTTTTTTTATGAAGAAATCGCTTAATCTCATCCAAACTGATGAACCGCAATTCGAATGTACAAAACCGCGCAGGCCAAATGTAGCGAAGAGCACCACCAGGTATGTTATCACCATGGATGAACTTATATCTGGACAAGCATAGGCGAAGCATAGGGAAACTGGAGTACTCGTCTGCAAACGTCAGGAGATATTTATTTCGAGTTGTCGAAGGCAGTTGTCTCTTGAGGTCAATGATTAAACGTTGAAACGTTTGTGTGGCTTCAATTAGTGCACCACCGGATGGCCTGAAGAAACGTGGTTTCCATTCCGCTTAATGACAAGTCGGATGTACGATAGGGAGAATGGGAGATTCTTGGCACGAACGAAATGCATCATGCGTGTTGTGAGTGACTGGGTAGATTTTTTTATAAAAAACGGCTTATCGAACGAGAATAATACGCGAACAAGTCAACTACACGTTGTTGAGACTTCATGTCCTTCGGAACGGGCAGTTCTTGCAAGACCTTGAAACGTTCAGGGTCTGATTTGATGATGCCTTCAGTAATTTCATGGTCAAGGAGTTTAAGTTTGGTGGCGGATATTGTGCTTTTATCGTGATTTCACTGAAGACCGCACTTTTGTGCTACGGCGAGATCTTGTTTTTCTTGTTTTTTCTGATTATTTCCATAAGTGGTGACATTGTCCACATAGGCATATGTCGCGGTGAGCTTTCCAGCGCGTATTATATCATCCATTACCCTTTGAAAACACCCCGCTACTTTTGTTACTCCGAAATTTTTCGGTGAAACTGATAAAGGTTGTTGCAAGCCTCAAAAGCCTTGTAGATTCTGTCACTTTCTTCAATGGGTATTCGGTGGTACAAACATTCAAGGTCAAGCATGCTGAAAATACGATATTGAGCTATTTTACTACCCATATTTTCAAGTCTGGGGAGCGGATAAGCGTCCAGTTGCGTAAATCGGTTTACAGTTTGACTATAGTCAACTACCGTTCGTTTCTTCTGTCGCTCATTTGTCGTGAGGAGCACTTACGCACTCCATAGAGACTTTGACAGTCAATTAATTTGTTGATCGAATAAACGCTTTATTTCAGAAGCAATGAAGGCCTCGTCGTCTGCAGAATGCTGTCTGGACTTCATGGCAGTGGGCTTACACCTTAGATCAAGATACTCAAACAGAGTAAGAGGTTCGATTTTGGCAGCGATTAGATCACAGAGCAAGAAAGAAGGTTTGTCACCGTTGAATGAGAGTCTCAGGTATTTTTGAATATAAAAAAATCCTGTCTTAGTAGACCATCCGCACAGAGATCACGTGATACTGAAAACCTGAAGGAGGGATACATGTCTTGTATATGTTGCAACGCTAAAAACAATGTCCAAGGGTGAAGCCTTTGTGCTAAATGGATACCAAAGAGATCTCAGATGGACAGTGGTACAGGCCACGTACCACATTTTCGGAAATGAAACTTTCTGTACTATCGTGTGTTGCTGATACTACTGATGAGGCATGCGAGTAGTAGCAGTTTCTCGTAACTCCGTTTTGATCGAATGGAAGATGGGATTTATTACGGAAGTAGTAAAATGGTTTTGTAGCATTCGTCTACGTTTGCGTGATAGTAAGTAACTATCTGGGAAATTTGAAGATGGCACCTTCAAGAAGAAGACGTATATGCAGTTTTATTTAAAGACAAGGTGCTTATGGCCTGTAACTGTTCATTTGTTTTTTCTAATAAATAGCTCCGCAGAGAAGGGCTTCTTCCCTTCACCAGTATCAACAGGAGGTCGGAGTGGAACACCATTGGCTTTCACGTCGATGACTGCTTCCTTGAGACACTCGGGGGCCTCAGCAGTGACGCAGGATAGTGCGCTTGAAACGGATGGAGTGTTCCTTGGACCAATAGGAGCTCTGCATACTTTTTGATAATACCCTTTCTTTGGTTTTTGAAGGTCGTCTTTAGCGGGGTATTAATATCGTGGGTGGCGAGCACATCCACAAAAGAAACGTCAAGACCTCATACTAGTGAAGGGAGGAAAAACCTTCGCTGCGGAGTTGTTTATTAGAAAACACCAACTGAACAGTTACAGACTATGGGACAAGAAGCTAAAACTCTCATATGCACCTAGTCTTTGAATACAACTGAATATACGTACTCCTGAACGCGTCTTCTCGAACTTCCCAGGATATTCACTGACTATCACGCTGCAAAGCAATTCCACAAATTCCGTAATACATCCACATTCCACCAGATCAAGGCTGAGTTACAAGAAAACCACATACTACTCGCATGCCCCATCAATACTATCCACAATTACACATGTTCCCCCTTTAAAGATCGCTTGCATGCCACCGACTTCCAGTTACCTCCGTTACGTCGGCCCCAGCAGCTGGTCTATTCAGGATCTCCTCGGGTGTATCATGCCACTTGCGAAGCTGAGTCCCATTTACTCTTCCCGATCCCCGACCATCCTGAATTTTACAGACGTTCCCCCGGCGGTCGATAACGACATACGGAACTTGCCATCGACTTCCCAGCTTCTGCAAGCAACTCCCAAACTCCTCGCCCTCAAAGCAAGGCCCCTGATCGGTTAGGATCATTTTTGGCACTCCGTGATTGGCTACGATGTGATGCATTACCACGCCGCTGATCATCGTCGCCCGTTTATTTAACATGGCTGCCGCCTCGACCCATCGCGACAGGTGTTCTGTCATTATCACGATATATTGATTTTCGTTGGTTGTCACCGGAAAGGGGCCCATGACGTCAACGGACCATAACTCGCCAATTTCTGAGACAGGAATAGGATCCATGGGATGAGTCGCCCCTGTCGTATCCCCTTTCATTGGTTGGCGCCGCTTACAGGACTCTACATAACCCATCACCTCACTTCTCATCCCAGGCCAGTGGGCCCTGCCGAAGTAATTCATACGTCCTGGTGCACCCTGTATGTGCTATCTCATGGCGTTCGACGAATAGCTTCCGTGTCAAGACGCGAGGTATCACGGGCAACACAGCATCCGAATCGGTGGCGTTCCAGGAAATTATACCAACTTCATTCAGACTCAGCCGATCGAAGAGACTCTGGAACGTTTCCAATTCCTTTTCTCCCTCTCCGTTCTCAATACTTCTTCCATCCAACAAGGCGGCTGCAACCTTCCGTAACACAGGATCCTGCCGTTGGAGTAGCACCAGCCTTCCGGGACCCAATTCAATGATACAGTTCTCGCAAGTTGCAGTGGCTGATTCATAATCCTTACAGTCTTCGTTGAAGTGGTAAACACTAGGAACAACGTAATTCAACAAGATTTTCAGTTTATCTGGCGAATGAGAAGCGATTGACTCTAGGAAATTCGCGAATTTACAACACCGGTGCTCCCAAATATCTGCCGAGTCTTGAGTATTGGGATCAGTATTGAACCGTTCAGGACGTAGGAATCGGTCCATTGTTCGATGAAAATTCTTGGACGAATAAATTGTTGTGTTCGACGAGGAATATAGTGCAGCGACAATCAGAATAAGAAATAAGACTAAGACACTGAGAGCTGAAACGAGAAAAAGTGATTTGGCAATGGGCGATGAAACATTTGAAGAACAGGGCAAATATACAACACATTGAAACCGACTAATTCGTTGTGCTGTGCGCTGTGCTGCACGAAGAAGCAATCGTCTCTGGTTTCCTATTCCTCTCTATGTTCATCTGATTAACTTTTTTTGTAAAAGCAGTGGGTTCCGGATATCTGGAGTACACTGCTGATAGTTTCGAGTGAAATGTAGCCTGTACTCTAATGACGCCCATCAACTTTTGATAGGCCTGATTTGAAATTAAGCTGTCACTCTACGCAACTTGACTACGCGTTTGTTATTGGGGAGAGTGCTTGTAGCATAGATTGTCGTTGGTTTGATAACTGAGAAGTGAAATTCGACAGCAAACGCCTCATCATCAACCGAAGTCACATCATCACTGCGTTGTTTTGAAGATAAGTGGAGTGTAGCGGTGCGTGAATAGTTTTTGAGTTGGGCGGTGATACTGTATTAACCTACATTTTTCTAGCCAGGTTTGGCCTTCGATCGCGACTGGTTTTTCGGTCGGGCAATTCTGTTGGTCGGTTTGTTATCCTGCTTCGCGATTGATCGGTGAGCACGTGACAACAATAATCTGTCCGTGAGCTCGTATACATTCTTGATGTGAGGTAGAAATGTCCGTTTAGCCGCTTGTTCTTGCTGTTGCTGCTGCTAAGTTATCTTGGTAAAAGCCCTTGGATATCCATTGTTTTTGGAATACCCTGAATGGGTAATTTTATTCTTTCTTGCTTAATTCTGGGACGCTACAGGGTTTCTGAGTACAGCTCTTTTTGTAGCTCATTGAATCCCATACCGAATGAAAACATTGATAAAAGCAAGATGAACAACGCGGTACACCAAATCAACCGTAGATTTTGGGGTTAGTCAGGTCTACAGCTTTACGCGTTGACCTCTCAATGGGGACCCCATAACATTTTCCAGTTGATCGAAAACTTATCTTTATGTCATCCTTTTTTTTAGTAAACCCTCTTCAGCTACACTTTTTGACCAATAGGCCTATCTAAACTCCACATCCTGTTTTTTACTACTTTATAGCGCAACAACAGCTCAACACGGACAAACTGGAGATTGGCCTTGTTAGATCACTATGAATCACACAGGCATGTTGATGTCTCCAGTTGGAAGAATTATCGCAACAGGTTGAATGAACTGTTAGTAAGTAAGGATAAATGCGCAATGTTTCTTCAATCGAGATGTTGTTTCTGAATGTTCTACTTTGTTAAAAGTCATTAGTTTTGGATAGGAAGATGGAATGCTTTGAATACGTTTCTGCTAATTTTTATAGGCTGTCCTGTCCTGTCCTGACCACGTTCTTCCCGTGCCAGTAGATCAATTTTCCCGAAGAGCAGAGGGTGGAATTGAATTAGGGTTGGTCATGCAGTGATCTGAAGTATACAAACAGTAGCCAGCAAAGTCAGTTGTGTTGGTTATCACTGTGTCGCTTGATGGATCTCCTGAAGACGGGATAGATCAGTAGTTAAGCACAGTCGTAGATATGGGGTGGTCGTACGCTTATCCTGGCCTGCATGTATCCTGCGAATTTGTGATGTTTTCCGGCGGTATCGAACATTAGCTGACCAAGAATCATCTCATTCCATCCACTTAGGTGATACGTTTCTCCAATTTTTATAGGCTGTCCTGTCCTGTCCTGACCACGTTCTTCCCGTGCCAGTAGATCAATTTTCCCGAAGAGCAGAGGGTGGAATTGAATTAGGGTTGGTCATGCAGTGATCTGAAGTATACAAACAGTAGCCAGCAAAGTCAGTTGTGTTGGTTATCACTGTGTCGCTTGATGGATCTCCTGAAGACGGGATAGATCAGTAGTTAAGCACAGTCGTAGATATGGGGTGGTCGTACGCTTATCCTGGCCTGCATGTATCCTGCGAATTTGTGATGTTTTCCGGCGGTATCGAACATTAGCTGACCAAGAATCATCTCATTCCATCCACTTAGGTGGAAAACGTTAGTGGTTTTACGTTTGCGTCTGAGAAAATATGTTGTATTGCTTCCGGCTTATTTATGGTTTTCATGGAGGACGAAGAACGACTTCAGTGTGGTGCGATTACTACAAATAAATAAGAAACCATAAATAGTGTCTCGCCATGTTTTTCATCATTGTAGTATTTCTCATGGTACATAAATTTCGTCGTATAGATGGAATGTCATACTTAAAGGTCATGTAGTCAGCTGCTGATTTGGTTGATGGAACTTATTAGGTTGATGAGAAGTTTCCAGCGCACCATCAGCTCCACTTTGTTTTGAGCTTATCACGCAAGCGCTATCTCAGGATTTCATTTAGTCGTTTTTGTCTTGGGGCGCTATTTTGTAAATATACCACACCTAGCACTCATATGCTCAGTTGAAGTGGACGGACGGTGTAAACGGGCTTCTAGTGAACACCTCCTTTAGGATGTTTCTCTACATCCTGGTAATCGAACCAACTGCATTGAAAGACAGCTTTTACGCTGCACATTCAGTTGGGGAACACAATGCAAGAGGGATCAGTTCGAATCTTCTTTGAATCTGTTGTTCACACTTGCCATCTCTCTAATAAAACCGAAGTCGGATATTTTTGCGTTGCTCATGCGGTGGGATCAAATGGTGTCTTTTATTTGGCCAATAACACTCCTGCTATACTGTTTGTTATACGTAACTTTCACTCAGTTCATCACACGAGTAAATTTTTCTTACCATAACTTTTCAGCCATTTCAGTGGTTTGGTCCAACTGACAGCCGGATAGCAGTATTGGCTGATGTAGAGTTGGGTAAAACAACGCCCGTCGGTAGAAAGCAGATGCCTAATTTACTGGCCCTGCTGCATCCTCGAGGGATCGATTTGTTGGACCTGACATCTGGAAAACCAATGAGTCAGTTAATATTCAACTGGCGTAAGTCCCTCCTCACTTGTGATTAATTTTGCGGTTGATTTCCATTGTAAGTTTCGTTTCTCACTTTCGTTCTCTCTTGACTTGAAGGAAACCGAACCGACTTAGTCGTACTAAAGCGTTCATCGTATTTTGAAAGTACAGTTAATATTTTTTGCGATAGATTTGCAGGACCATTCGGTCCTATTAAATCATTACAGAGCCGATCCTTAGGTGGAAGAAGTAATGCGACTTTCCTTTGCAGTTAAAGCTACATATCCGAGTGAGTTTGTGGGAAGCAACGTGCCTGTCAAGCCTAACAGGAACAGGCTAAAGGGAGTTGATTTTGAAAGGCTTGAGCTCATCTTTGTGTACACATGTGTTTACCCAAAGATGCACTAGGCATAAGGCTTTTTAAATGAACCCTAGTCGTAAGTCATTCAAGCAGTGAGGTCAATTTGCTATCTGTTGTTGACGGTTTGTGTTTCAGGCCCGGGGTCGACATATGCCTTCATTTCAAGTGTGAATGATTCTCGTTATTTCTTTCGATCACTGGGCCGAAATCTCCTAACCCAGTTGAGCATACAATCAACGATTATTCCATCGTCACTGAGTTCTTCCGCGACTTACGTGGAACATTCCTCGGATGGTGATGCGGACGGGGATGTGCCTACACATGGCGACTTCTCACACATGGTGGACTGCCGTGGAGTACTGCGACATCTCGAAGTGAGTACGGACAGCTCAACTGTTGGCTTGAACTCCCAGTCGGTCATACATGGTGGCCTTTGTAGACCTCATTCTTTATTCGATTTTGCTCGACTGGGTCGGCCGGATTGGTTAGAAGATGAAAGCAAATCTGTTCCTCCACTTGTCTTTCACAGGTATGGCTTCGTTTTTGTTTTATACCAACAGGGAATAAATCTCCTTTTTATTTTTTGGGTTGACTTGTTTCAATGTCAACAAGGGTGAACTTTTTTGAGTACTTCCGGGTATCCATTCGCCGCTTTTTATATATGTTTATCTGAGTGCTTGTCACCTAGATTGACTGACTTCATTCTTTTGAAACAAGGATTGTGAACAGCTGGTAAATTTAGAGAAGTCCTTTTGGTATAAAGTTTGATAGATTAGTGTAGCCAGTAACTAGGAACTGCAATCCTGATTTAGGCTTGGATCAGCTATGGATGTATGTAAATCAATTTAGGTGTCAACTAACGTCACTTTTCGAAAGCATGCCGAGTTGGTTACAAGTTATGGAGCGCAGGGACAGCATGTGACAGTGTCAACAAAAACAATATGCGGTTCACTGTTTAAGGTTGTTCATTCAAAGATACATTATTCAAAGATGCGGGTGAATTCTTCAGTCAGCGCTTGTTTGGTCTGTTTGCCTGCATTTGGAAAAAGGGGACTGTCTTAGACAAACAACAAGAACCCGTATCCACTTTCAAGGGGCTGGTATGAGTGTGGTAACCACAGGGGGATCAGCTTGGCTCCGATCGTAACAAGATTGTCGGCGTCACTTTTTCTTCGTTGCCTTACGGTGGCTCGTGAAACACTGGCTTAAGAGCGGCAAGTGGTATTCCTGCCCGGTAGGGTTTGTGTTGACCAAACTCTCACACCCCATCAAGTTTTAGAACAACGTCACAATTTCGGTATCCCTGGATTCCCAAGGCCCATTCGACTCGGTTAGCCGGTCCGTTCTCATTGACACACTTGGCCGTCAAGGAATCCCCCGGAATTTTGTGAAAATAATACGTTCTTTGTATTCTCTGACTTCCGAACGTGTGAAAGTGTACGGAGAGCTCTCCAAAAGCTTCCGTACACAAACCCGTGTCCTTCAGTGGTGCCCACTCTCTCCATTTTTATGTAATTTAGTGATCGATGAGATAATGAGACGAACGCTGGAATTTTTTCAAAACCCCGGATGTTCATATAGTCTTCGGCGAAAACCTTGTCGACCTGGAATTTGCAGACGATTTAGTTATCTTCTTTTAAGAAGAGGAGAAGCCGCAAGTGTTTCTGGATGAAATGACCAATATCATCCATCCCGTCCTCTGGCATGCACTTTGGACTCACAAAGTTTTAGGTCATTCTCCTGAGCAAGCAGTCACTGAACATGCCTTTTAAAATCCACAATGAAGCACACAAGTTTGCGGAGCGTTTTTGTGTATTCTGGACAGATGAGGTGAATGTACTAATCTTCAAGGCCCGGGTCACGTTTGCTAATTTGAGGCACTTATGGCACCAAAGCGGTATATCCCTGAATTTCAATGGATGTGTGTATCAGGTTACAGTGTGGGCTGTGCTGTCGTATGGCTGTAAGACTTGGCCTGAAACGTCTTCATGTCTTCGACAACCGTTACCTCAGGACCGTAGCTCGTGTGGGTTGATACAGGCGAATCCGTAACAAGGCAAGTCGAAAACGAGTTTTCGGCTGAAGAATGTGTCCACCACCAGAAGCTGCGTTGGTTAGGCTGTGTACTGCGTATGCCGAACCATCATTTATCGAAGAATGCTGTTTTCCGTCCCCAATTCAGATTGGTGGCCATTCCTTGACCTGGCTGAGGAGTGTGAAAGAGATTACGAAAGTTCTGGATGCTGTCGGTGCTACTCGCCTTTCAGGATGAGGACCGCACCTAACCATAAGCGCTGCAATATATGGCTGCTAATCGTTCTTGTCAGTTTATACCGAGATTGTCTTAATGAGTGTCTGGAGGTGTAGGCACCTCACAATGATTGTAGTAAGGTAGCACTAAGTCCCTTTCCCATCCACTTTTATTCTTTTTCTTACAAGAAGTCTTCCAAATAAACCATGATTGTACGATAGCCAAGCTTCGCTATTGAACACTGATATCGTGGTGTCGATAGTAATGCTGATGAAGTCAACTCTGGCGTCAGGAGTAGCCAACATTGTCTAAAGATACCAAGTCTTGTGGGATATCAGTGATTATAGATCATATTTTTCTAATGTAAACAATTTATTTTCTTGATAGGCCAAAAAATTCTTTGTGTTTATCCCAATCACTTGGATGCTATGTTCGACTTTTGTTCATTACAGTGATGTCCCTTCGAATGGCTTGGTTGACCTGTGGAACTATTTGCTTCCGTCCTTCGCCCTACATCCTCAAAGTGTTAACCTTTTGCACAAACATCACAACACCGGGGAAAATTACGATATCGTCTTCTTGACCTCTGACGGCAGTTTGACATGCGTCTCTAACCATGGACACCAAAATTGGCGGGTAATTTTTCTTCCACCTTGCGTTTGTTTTCTTTTGCGTTGGTGTGCTTCTTACCAGATCAGTCGGAGGACGTTCAAGAACTTTACACATCTTCCGTGAACTGAACCCGGCATGTAGATTTTCCCAGACCGATAACATAGTGTGGCTGGAGAACTGGTTAGCCACCTGATAAACTAAGTAAACAGGGACTTCCGACACTGATGAACTACCTGTTGATAAAATCCATGCAAAGTGTAAAGGGCTGCTACAAGACTAGGTGGGATCAAATCCACACCTCATGCTTTCAGGTGAGTCAATCGAAGTGGTAGATAAATTTGTTTGCTTGGACAGCTGTATACGTTCCGGTGGAGCGGCTGGAGATGAGATTATTTCTCGAATCGAATGGACCAGGGAAGCTTTAGCCAATCTCTGACATTTATGGCGCCGACGTGACGTGAGCTTGTCTATCAAGGGAAGAGTTTACACGGCGATGGTGCGATCCATACTGCTTTGTGGCCTCTACGCGCAGAGGAAATGCGGAAGATGACAGTGTTTGGTCATTGGTGTCTTCGCAGCATTGGTCAGGGCCGGTGGCAACATCGGATTAGTAACGCTGAAGTACGCCAGATGGTCTTCGGAAAAAGGAACTCTCCCACGATAGATGAATTACTCACGCTTCATAGGTTGCGCTGGTTAGGTCGTGTACTGCGCATGCCAGAAGACCGTCTGCCTCACAGAGCTCTTTTCTCCCAGCCGTCTGCTGAGTGGAAGCGACCGATATGTGGACAATGCAGGACCTGGCAACGAAGTACAAAAACACTTGCTAGTAAACTTAGTCGGGTGGGCAACTGCCACTTTCCTGGATGCGGGCCCTGGGACTCAAATCACCAGTGGTTAATGATATTGGTGGTAGTGGCCCAAT